TACTATTATTAACATTAAATAAATTTTTTGAAATTTTAGTTTTCAATTATTACCAAGTATAAATTATTCAGTATTATGTAATAATCTTTGAGCAAATACTCAAAAAAAATTATTAAATTATTTATTCAATTATGTAATAATATAATACTAAATAAATAGTGTAATTCATAATGTATGTGATATTATTAAAATAATTACATTATTTATGTGATTATATATTTATTCTATTTATTTTATTGATCATTGAATTATAGTATAATTCTTAATAGTATTTAGTAATATATTATTCTATTTACACTATTATTTTAATTATTTTATTATAATTCATAAATAATTATTATAATAATTTAATTTGTTACTACTAATAACTAATAATTGTATATACTTATTTTATAAATTATTATATTATATTACTTTTAAAAAATTAATACTTATAATATTATTGATAATTATAATTATTTAGAATGCTAAGGAGGTTCATAATTAATAAAGAGGTTATATTTATTTATGATAGATAAATTAGAGATAATGACATAGTTAGAATTTATCAAAATTTGAGAGGGCAAAAAAGGAAATTAAAAGTTTTAACACCTCAATCCTCTTTTTATAGTTGTATAGATGTATAGATAGATAGATATAGATATAGATTAATGGAGATCTATGGCCTCTTCATGATATTGGATACATGTATCCACAAATATTCATATCCATAGAAACTATACTTTTATTTTACATGTTATTTTCTCATTTGTGATAGGCTTATTTTTCATCTTGATACCCAAAGTTTATCCATTTTTTCTTTGTTACCTCAAAGTATTTGTTTTTAACATCTTGATACCTCAATATTCCAGTATCATTCACTTTGAATTTCTTTCTAAACTTCATCACAATTTTTGTTTTAATTCGTCCATGCACTTAGTACATGATTTTTTTTTAGATCCAATTTACTTAGTTGTTAGGTATCTAAGCAACCAAATGTTCCTATTGCTCATTCCCCTAGGTCCTTGCAAAGCATTATACAGATTACTATTTGGCCTGAACTACTATCAAAACAATTAAATATTACTACAATTTTTTTCCCTTTCTTTTTACTCTTGGTTTTCTGATACTTTTTCATGAAGTGGATAGTAGGCATGACATGTGTTCATGCGTTTGCCATAATGCAACTCAAACTGTTTTTGCATGTTTGGCAGAAAAACTAAAGAAATCTAAATGGGATATCTAAGTGAAATGAGATCGAAACTTTGGGGTATCGAAATGTTAAAATATTTTTGGGGTATCAAATTGATAAAAATGGTAAATCATGGCCCTTGGGATACCAAAGCGAAAATAAAACCTCTTTAGAGCATATGTGGCAAGTTGTCAAAGTGGCACATAATCCATATATAAGCCACTTTTGACTTGTTTGGCAAATAACTTATATGTGACTTACAAAGTACTTTGGCATGTTTGATGAATAGCTTACTTTGACTTATATGCCACTAAAAAAATAAGTGAGGGTACACCAACTTATTTTTTTGGTGGTTTACAAAGTAAGGAAGGAGGGCACAACTAATACCAATGAGAATGGACTAGCTTTTGAAGGTTCTAATCGAGGGAGGAGTAATAAAAGATGTGACAGTTATCGAGAAAGATCATGATCTCGGATCCAAGATGACAACGAGAAGGAGTGCTACTATGAAGAGAAAGGTCACGTTCAGTTTAGATGTTCCTAGATGTGAGATAATATGAAGAGCATTAAGCAATTGAAGCTTCAAGAAAATAGGAAGGAGAACTCTCTGATGGTTGTGTGTGATGAAGATGTAGTGTTAATGACATAGAGTGCTGGTACTGATGTGAGTAATACTTGGGTGTTAGATTCTAAAGCCACTATGCATGTTTTCAACAAACCAACATTGTTTCGACATATTGAAGATGAATGAAGAACTTGTTGACAACGAGAAGATGAAGGCTAAAGGTATATGGAGTGTTCTCCTCAAGTTTCATAATGACAACGTCAGAATTCTTCATCATGTGATATATTTTCCTTCATATGTTGCCAATTTAATTTCACTGGGATAGATGACATCTCGTGGGTACAAGTATATGAGTGAAAGAGAGTGGTGTTAAGTGTATAAAAATAGTGATTTAATTTTGCAAAGGAGGAAGAATAGCAAACATTTTTGTAATTTAGATGGGCATTCTATCAATGGTATAGGTACTATTCTCAAACTCTTGTCCACAAGGGAGAGGTGAAGTACAAGAACAAAGTGAGTTTTTCTACATCTGTTGAGATACATAGAATTTTTTTTGTCGAGAGAGGATATGTTGGGTGTTAAACTCCAAATTGGATCTGGATTTGAAGACTAGGCACAGTCCTAGTAATTTTTCTGGTGGGCAAGTTAGGGGTATCTATAAAATGATAACCTAATATAGGTAGGGTTTTGAGAAAAAGAGTTTGAATTCTATGCTAATTAGAAAGTTAGGCTAGAGATAAAGTTTTGATTTGTCTATATAAAGTCTTCTATTATTAGAGGAAAAACTAAGAAGAAAAGACGAGCTGCTGCTCTTATAATCTAAGTCATCAGAGGGTGTAAACGGATTCAAGAATAGTGTGCGAGAGAAGAGAGCTTCACAATATTTATTCGTGCAAAGGATTGCAACTGGGGGAGGGTTTCACAGTTTCTGTTCATCCAAAAGATAGTATGGAGATGACTTTAGAGAGAATATTAGAGTTGATTACGTATATGAGTCGAAAGATTGAGAGATGAGAATTAAGTAGTTCCTCTTAAAGTTCTCTTTGATACATAGTATATTTCTTCTATTGTTGACCTGTAGAGGAAGATCGAAGTTGGACGACTGAACCACGTAAATCTTAGTATTTTTCTTAATTGGGAGTGTTTTCTATCTCATGATTGCGAGTTGATTTTTGGGTGGCGAAAACTGTGGTAAGGGATGACTTAAATCCCCAACCACAAGGTTTGACCGTGCAAAATATTAATATACCCCTCATCATTTCAAAAAATTCCACACCCCATTTGTCTTTTCCCCATATCATTGAATGTATTTTGGTCATAGTGGCTTATAAGCCACATATTTGTCAAACACTTTACTTTTAAAAATAAATTACAATCCACTAAATTTTTAACACTTGGACTTATAATTAACTTGACCTATAATATATTTGTGGATTATAGGTGGATTATAATCCCACTCGGCCAAGCATGCTCATACTCACCTAGCTCTTGTGCCAATTACATTATTGGCCTGTTTGGATGGAGAGTAGAGAAGGAGAGGGGAAGAGAAATTTAATTTTAACATCGTTTGAGAGTTCCATTTAGGAGAATAGAGGAGGCCAATGTAGGAAAAATTGAGCCAAAATCTTATAGTCCAAATTGTGGGGGTGTTTGTTTAGTTGTAAGTGGGTTGAAAGTATGAAAGTGACTTTTTTTGTAAGTGGGTTAACGCATCCAAGTCAGCATACAATTGACATACATTGTTTGTTTACAAAAACGGTTAACGCATCCAAGTCAGCATACAATTGACATACATTGTTTGTTTACAAAAACTAGTTATTGTTGAAAGTAGAAAAGTGAGGATGAAGCATACAATTGACATACATTGTTTGTTTACAAAAACTAGTTATTGTTGAAAGTAGAAAAGTGAGGATGACGTGGCAATATTATTTTAATTTAATTATATATTAAAAATCATGTTTTTATATAAATTGCTTCCCATCTCTATTTATCATTTTGAAACATATCCAGTACCGACATCATGTAGTCATAAACAGTAATTTAACAAAATAAATAAATCCTAAAACATATATACCCAAAACTATGTAATCATCATGAATAGTTCTAGTATAATAATCTTATTGATAAAATTTTAGCAGAAAAATCATTAAAAAATATTAGCTAATGATCCTTTTTTAATGTTAGCAAATGGGAATGAGAATCACAAAGAAAATACTTGCTGCAACCAAAGAATATCCAAGATACAAAATGTAAATAACCCAATTACTTATCTTCAATGAAAACAGCAAAGCCATTGACATATTTCAAACCATAACTGCAACCAAAGATGATGAGAATAATATTCCAAACAAAAATTACAATTCCATTCGTAGGATAATAAAGTTTCCAAACCAACCAATCCTGCTTATCAAACTCCAAATAAATAGAAAAGAGTTCTAAATTTAAGTAAATAGTGATCAACTCTAAAGTAATTCCACAAGCTAATTTACAGGTTACTTTCAAACAAACTAGTACTACTGTAAAAAACATACTAACTCATTGTACTACTGTAGGAAACATACTAACTCATATTTCGCTAAAGCCCTTCATGTTTTTGATATAGTCATTTACAATCTTCTTTTGTCTTGTAGGAAGCTTTGCAATGAATGTTAACGCTTTATGCTCACTATCTGCATAATGCTCAAAAATGGCATCCAAATCATCCTCGTTGTGCCCTTCAATAGCCATGATGACCTTATTAAGTTTAAGCCTCCAATCTTCAGGCGTAGCGTTTTCAATTGCTTTGGTAATGAAAGTAAGACCTTCCTTTAGTTCTTGGACATCATTTCTTGAATCATTTGATTTCTTCCCCTTTGAATGCTTAGCCTTCTTACAATTTTTTTGAGGAGTTGTACCATTATTGACATTCTGCTTTTCATTAGCACCATCAATGACATCGCCATCATCAGTCATTGTTATCAGAAATCCACCGTTAATGTCCTTGTTACTAGATTCGTCATGGCCTCCAAATGAATCATATATGTTCTTTCTAAATGATCCAGTGGAAAAATCCTCCCTGCATACAATCTTCATCTCCTCATAAAAATGGAATTGGACAATTGAGATATGTCCTTCTTGTTTCATGAGCCTGAAAGCAATATGACAAATAAATTTAGATATTATATTTATGAGAAAGTTTAATATTGAAAAGAAACTTACAAACACCTTAACACAACATATTTATCAACCATATTAAAAGAAATACACTTGTATATAACATTACTCATGGTCTTTGTCAGTTACCTCAACTATAAGAACAGAAAATCAAACCATTACGAAATGAGCTACTTACATCCTAATATGCAGCAGTTAAATACTTCAAACTTAATTGAGAAGCATGTGATGATCTCCAACAAGTTAAAGCTAGTTGCTTATAAAATGAAAACTTCCAGAAGCAAGTGCTAACCAGTCAGGCATCAAAGGGAAGACTTTCAGAACGTGAATGCCGGAGACTTTTTCAACAACTAATTGATGCTATTAGTTATTGCCACAGCAGAGGGGTTTATCACAAGGACTTGAAGGTACTTCACAAGCCTAACAAGCAAAAAATAATTCAGAAGGCTAACATTAAGATATCAGATTTCGGTCTGAGTGCTTTACCACAACATCTTAAGGTATATTACTTCAAGATAATCTAGTAATTATTTATAATCATGCTCCAGTTCCTCTTAATAGCATCTTACTGAAGCCCTGTTATATTTCAGAATGATGGATTTTTGCATACAACCTGCGGGAGTCCGAATTACATTGCCCTTGAGGTGAGAACTTGTATATAATCAGGTTTCGTGTCCTTAGACATTAAAATATTTTGGTTTATTAATTAATTTGATATTAGTTGCTCAATTCTTGTCTCCATTTATTTTTAGGTCCTTTTAAATAGAGGATATGATGGTGCAATGTCAGATATTTGGTCTTGTGGTGTGATCCTCTATGTCATTCTTACTGGATCTCTTCAATTCGATTTTAGAAACATGCATGTTCTTTATCAGAAGGTATATGCATCTTTGAATACCTTAACCTTTTCTAAAAACCTTTCTAATTGTTTCCCCTCTATACATAAAAATGCATTGATTTCCTTATATTATTGTTATTGTGTTTCAAACTGACAACACCATTTTGTTCATTGATGGCAGACTGATGAGGGTGATGATTATGAAATGAAAACGTCCAGAAGCAAGTGCTAACCAGTCAGGCCAGACCAACTATAATCATTCTCTAAGCCAATAAATAGTAGCCTATTGCACTTTGGCGTGGAAATTAGTTGTCATGAGATAGATATCATATGTTATCTCATATGTTAACAGTGGAAAAAAAAATAACAGTAGGAAAAAGCATGTGACAGATAAAACTATACAAACCTGGCAAAAATTATCTTATATGTTAATAGTAGGAAAGAATAAGTAGGAAAAAGCATGTGACAGATAAAACTATGCAAACCTAGCAAAAGTTATCTCATATGTTAACAGTAAAAAAAATAAGCTTTGGATTGAGGTTAGACAACATACCAACACATAAGTTTTATAAGTGAGATTGTCGAGGATTATCATTTTTTTATCCTCATCCCAACCAACTCCACTTATTTTATCTCTACAATGACAAATATCCTTCCACTTAGCTTTGAGGCCACGAAGATGATTCTCCAGATTTAACAGTGTAATACTTTGATTAATTTTTTGATTTACAGCAGCAACAACATCAATTAAAACGAGCTTTTTGAATGTTTTTTGGCTTTTGTTTCCATTAGCAGCTTATTCAGCGAGAAATTCCAAGAGAAAACCACTTTCCTCTTTGCTCCAGCGTTTGTTCGGAGTTCCACAGCCCTTCATACCTCTTTCTCCTTTTGTTTCATTTTTACTCTTTTTGTATTTCTTACAGATAGGTTCATCAGGGATAGCTTACCTTCCTCTTCATCTTCAATACGAATTGGCTCCTTATATTGTGGTTTCATCATCTCTTGAGAACTAGCAAACATTGCATGATACAAAGCATTTTGATATGTGGGATCTCTGATTCCTCCGAGAATAGGTGTAAAAGGATTTGCTTGACTTTCAATTTGACTTAGAGATGCAGGTATCCCTTGACTCCAATCAGTGGAATCTTGACTTAACCCCATTTGGCATAAGTTTTTATATGGAGCCCCAGCCATGTCCTAAGCAAGTGAACATAATTATAAATTTTACATATGAAACTATTGATCATATAACATAAAAAGATAAAAAAAATGTTGATCTAATTTATCTAAACTCAAAAAGATAAAGATCACATATTTATACCAAATTCCTACATTGTTCTAAAGACAAAAATAAAAGAAAATAACATTCTTGAAGCAACGACTCAAAATATATCACTAAAAGTACTACAGTCGATTGACTAAACAAAAATAAAAACTACTTCTTTTGTAGTAAGTTATCCCTCCTCCATGTTTCCAGTTTGATAAGTTTGACAGTAATTATGCCACATTGCTTGAGCTATATTTTCTCTCTTCTCATTCCACATTCTATTCTGATCATGTTGCTCACGTTGAGTAAGATTGGTTGCATAGGATTGAGTTTCACTATAGAGCTCTTCTTCACTTGCTTCATTCTCATATGCTAAATTTGCAAAATAGTCATCATCATCATTCTGTAGGATATAATTATGCAAAACACAACATATGAGAACTATATCAATTTGAGTCTCAAGAGGAAAGAATGGACGACTGCACAAGATTTTGAATCTATTTTTCAATATCCCAAAAGCAGCCTCAATTTTTGTTCGAAGACTTGAATGCCTCAAATTAAAAAGTTCTTTAGAATTTTTGGGTGTTCTGCCATGTTGTTCTCTCAAATGATATCGCACTGCACCATAAGGTACAATAAACCTCGACATTGTTGTATAGCCTGCATCAACAAGATAATACTTGCCTGCATTTTAATAAAATATATCATTAGTGATATAATATTTTATTTTAAAATATTTGACAGTAATTATGCCACATTGCTTGAGCTATATTTTCTCTCTTCTCATTCCACATTCTATTCTGATCATGTTGCTCACGTTGAGTAAGATTGGTTGCATAGGATTGAGTTTCACTATAGAGCTCTTCTTCACTAGCTTCATTCTCATATGCTAAATTTGCAAAATAGTCATCATCATCATTCTGTAGGATATAATTATGCAAAACACAACATATGAGAACTATATCAATTTGAGTCTCAAGAGGAAAGAATGGACGACTGCACAAGATTTTGAATCTATTTTTCAATATCCCAAAAGCAGCCTCAATTTTTGTTCGAAGACTTGAATGCCTCAAATTAAAAAGTTCTTTAGAATTTTTGGGTGTTCTGCCATGTTGTTCTCTCAAATGATATCGCACTGCACCATAAGGTACAATAAACCCCGGCATTGTTGTATAGCCTGCATCAACAAGATAATACTTGCCTGCATTTTAATAAAATATATCATTAGTGATATAATATTTTATTTTAAAATATTTGACAGTAATTATGCCACATTGCTTGAGCTATATTTTCTCTCTTCTCATTCCACATTCTATTCTGATCATGTTGCTCACGTTGAGTAAGATTGGTTGCATAGGATTGAGTTTCACTATAGAGCTCTTCTTCACTAGCTTCATTCTCATATGCTAAATTTGCAAAATAGTCATCATCATCATTCTGTAGGATATAATTATGCAAAACACAACATATGAGAACTATATCAATTTGAGTCTCAAGAGGAAAGAATGGACGACTGCACAAGATTTTGAATCTATTTTTCAATATCCCAAAAGCAGCCTCAATTTTTGTTCGAAGACTTGAATGCCTCAAATTAAAAAGTTCTTTAGAATTTTTGGGTGTTCTGCCATGTTGTTCTCTCAAATGATATCGCACTGCACCATAAGGTACAATAAACCTCGACATTGTTGTATAGCCTGCATCAACAAGATAATACTTGCCTGCATTTTAATAAAATATATCATTAGTGATATAATATTTTATTTTAAAATATTTGACAGTAATTATGCCACATTGCTTGAGCTATATTTTCTCTCTTCTCATTCCACATTATATTCTGATCTCGTTGCTCACGTTGAGTGAGATTGGTTGCATAGGATCGAGTTTCACTATAGAGCTCTTCTTCACTTGCTTCATTCTCATATGCTAAATTTGCAAAATAGTCATCATCATCATTCTGTAGGATATAATTATGCAAAACACAACATACGAGAACTATATCAATTTGAGTCTCAAGAGGAAAGAATGGACGACTGCACAAGATTTTGAATCTATTTTTCAATATCCCAAAAGCAGCCTCAATTTTTGTTCGAAGACTTGAATGCCTCAAATTAAAAAGTTCTTTAGAATTTTTGGGTGTTCTGCTATGTTGTTCTCTCAAATGATATCGCACTGCACCATAAGGTGCAATAAACCCCGGCATTGTTGTATAGCCTGCATCAACAAGATAATACTTGCCTGCATTTTAATAAAATATATCATTAGTGATATAATATTTTATTTTAAAATATTTGACTATATTCTTTATATACCTAGCAGCACTTTTAGACCCATTGGTGGTTCTAAAGACAACGCATCTTTTAAGACAGTGAAATCCGCCACAGATCCCTCCCAACCGGCCAACACATAAGTAAATTGCTTATTAGGCAAGCATGCTGCAAGAACATTTTGAATAGTCCCACCCTTTCTTCCTATAAATCGAATAGCAATTTCCTCCGGAACACTAACTTCGATATGGGTACCATCAATGAGACCAATGCAATCCTATTTAGATTCAATATATTTTGTGAATGTATTAATTTCAACGTATAAAGTTATTTTATATTTACTTCTCATATTTCAAAGAATAGAATTTACCTTGAACCATGAGAACCAAGTTGAGGAGGAAGTGATCTCTTCTGACGTTTCATAATCAGGTTGTCGTACAAATAAATCCCTCACACCACAAATAGCGCGCAATACAAAATTGAAATATCTACTAATTGTCTCCCCTGATCGTATGAACTCAATCTTCATTACCCTATTCTTTACATTATGTCCGACTATGTGAAGAAACATTGCTAGTTGTTCCTCAATGGATACATTTATAGTGTCTTTTAATAATCCTTTATCTCTAAACATACTTGCTAGTCTAAAGAAAGGAACATGCGCCATTCTAAGATAACCTATGTATGTTGTATTCCCGCCATAAAATATTCTATGCATATGCACTTTTCTAAGTAGATCTCTGTACATAGAGGGTTCTCGACAAATGGCCATAAAATATTCTATGCATATGCACTTTTCTAAGTAGATCTCTGTACATAGAGGGTTCTCGACAAATGTGGTCCTTACAATCTAATATGAAAAAAATAGATCTCTGTACATAGAGGGTTCTCGACAAATGTGGTCCTTACAATCTAATATGAAAAAAATATAGTACGCCACTACACAAGTTGCTCCTGCATAAGCTGCTATTGCCCCTTGTAACAAGACGACATTGAGTATTGCGATCCATCTATATCAATTAAGCAAACGGAAAATAAGAATATACTTTATACATAAGTTGAAAATAAGAATAACATAACTGTTATAATGTAAGTAATTAGTTCAAATTTGAAGATTCATGAATTTGCATCGTAATATGTCATTGTAAATTGGTAGCACACACTAGTTTTCTTTACTTTATCAAATTTGAAGATTAATCGTAGAAAAAGTTATAGTTTCGATGTACGTATCATAGAAGATTTTAATTATTCAATCAAAAGTAAGATGATGTCGGAGATGGTCCTTAGCTAGAAGCCTATATTGTCTTTACATGCTAATACGTCACTCATTTCTGCAATGTTTTTATGCCTTAAAGTGTCATTAAGCATAAAAGAAACCTGCCATCCTGACTTCAACAAATCCAATGAACCCAACCAGTGCCCATGCCCAACGCAGGCGGTGGTATCCAAGCAGTTACATTAGCGACTAGTATCATCACAGAGTAGAAAATGAGAACCAACTCAAAAGGGTACAATCTTAAAGGCAAACAATAAGAGGCATAAAACAGTATGGAACCGTTTAGTTGGAATATCAAGTGAAAAATAATGTAATATAACCTTTTAACATCAAGAGTTTTAAATGAATTTCCAAGTAAATGGGGGCAAAAAAGATTAATAACAAAATTTAGGAGGGTAACCTCATCAGTGTCACTATCGACACACATAATTAAACTGTATAATGCAGCAAAGCTGCAACCACCCATCACATGATTAGAGCACTTGTTCAAGTTATTGAAAAGAAAACATTAATCCAGTTTCCAACACCACATATCTCATAACCATCAGAGGTTTTGGAGCAATATTCTTATGCATATGTATTGAAATCATTCTCCCATCACAATGAAATTCCCAAATGGTGAAGCCTTTGGCTTTAACAAACCACCACAAAGCAAGCGAATCACCACAAAGTGAGAAATGTACTACTACAGACACGATGATGCAGAACAATCAGAGAGAAAATTTTTGTTTTCCTTCTTCCAAAAATAGAAGAGCAGAGAAGAAGCAAGAAGGACCACAAGTCTAGAAAAGTGCATAGATGAGCAAACATCTAAAGCCATTACACAAATTTTGTGACAAAGTTATCTCATATGTTAACAGTAGAAAAAACACGAGTATCTTATTGATATGAATCCCTCACCAAACCCTAGAAATCAGTAAACAACAGCAGTAGAACAAATCCCAGAGATCACAAACCCAAATTCATCAATCTAAACTCCTAAATGACCGATGCAAAAATAATCAACAAATTCAAGGGAGAAACAACGACATCTAATTAACAAACGCAACAAAGAGAGAGTGAAACCCTAATCTGCATCTTTGACGATGACGAATCCGATCTGCAAGCGGACAAAGAGTGAGAAATCGAAGAGGAGAACGATCTCCAATGCATTGATCAAGAGAAAATTCTTACCTCTCTTAAGGATCTCAGGCAAAAATCCTCAAC